ATGGGGGGGGGGGGGGGGGGGGCAGGTTCGGTCTAAGAGAATTGGGGTTCGATTTAACAGAGGGGTGTGTCTAGCTATTTTAACCTCTCTTCAACCGGCAATCCTCTTTAAGTGAGCTCTCTTAAACCGTAGCCCCCACTGTACCAGCTTGCCTGAGGGGCTTGCGTGTAGGATACCACTCGCCGGGGCGAGCACTCCATGTCGTAGGTAGTGTGACCAGCTTGCCTGAGGGGCTTGCGTGTCGGATAGATAATACATGGTGTCCTTTTCTTCATCTGCTGTCCCTGGGATAACGTAGTACCCAGTCTCAACACCACAGACCGCTGAGGGCGTCAGTGCCACAAACAGTGCCACAAACAAACCTTAAGGACATGTCCTGTGCCGATGTCGTGGAGGTGCTGGACAAGAGGTCAGTGCTACAAAACACAACCCCATCTCCTTTTCTTTAGGTGGTGCCAGCTTGCGGCTGCGGCTGCGGCTGTTGTGGGTGCGCTTACGTGCTTTCAAATCTCCAGACGAGATGGTTTTCGGAAAAAGACCCGAACAGCAACGAACGCTCGTCACCTTCGCGCCGAACAGTTCGCCGATGAGCTTCTCCGCCCGCCGCTTTCCGTCGAAGTACCCCACCTTCTTGACGGCCGACGGAGCCTTGTAGTCGTGTACCGACACGAACACGAACTGTTTCACCCCCGCGTCCGCTGCGGCCTACAAAAAAAAAAGAAAAAGTGAAAAGTACACAAAGAGGAGGGACGAGAATCGAGGTATTGTAAGCGCAGAAGAAAACACCATGCGAAAAGTAAGCAGCGGGGGGAGGAGAAAGGGATATTTTAAGCGGCATTCGGAAAGACCGCGTGAAAAAGCACGCAGAGGGGGTAGGACAGCACGGGGATTTAAGCGGTATATGAAAATTCTCGGTGACTTATTTTTCTCTTCTTTGTTGACCCACTGGTGACTATTGTGGAAAATGCACGCCATTCATGTGCGAGATACACGAAAGTGTTGGAGGGGGGGAGGAAAGACCGAGTGCTGGGCGCCCTAAATTTATTTCGAGAGATAATGACTTCCAGGTTGTATTTATATGTCTGACACCTTTCACCGCTTTGAGGCAGTTCATTGTGTGCCGTTTTGTGCCACGAAATCCCCCGGAATGCCGTCTTCCGTGTTTGCCCTAATACGACCAACATTGACAGAAGTTCCAGGCACTTGCTCTAAAGAGGCAGGGGAGCCAAAGCAAATGGCGCCTGGTACACATGTACGCCCGCGTTAAAGATGCAAAGGCTCATTCAAGGGGACACACACCCCCGTCGGGTGTTCTCGACGAGAGAGAGTTCGTCCAACTGATTGCAGGGTCGGTCGGATTGTTTCCGCCGTAGCTCTTCTCCACGTAGATCCGAAAAGTGACACATGAGCAGCGTAGCGACAAAGCATAAAAAAACAAGAAATCAATGCCCACGTGACAGAGAGACTGCTAACTGCTTTTGAATGAGGAGCCGATTATTGCGGTTGACTGACGCCTTGTTTCCGTTTGCCACCCGTTCCGTTTTGGTCCACGCCAAATTAAGGTACTACAGCAGCAAACGCCAATTATATGTACTATAATACTTCCAAGTATAGTACATGGCACGCATATAAAAAGGTGGTACTAAATAGTGCAGAATACGCCGATTAACGTACGTTAGTACAGCAGTGAACACCAAGTAAAGGTACTACATAGTATAGCTGTAGACGCCCCTTTTCCTCACTCACACCTCGGCGAGCTTGATGTTGGTCTCGCCGTTGACCAACCCCATGTAAGCGTCCGTCTTCCCGAACCCTCCCACGCAGGACACCACTGTGTCGGATCGCCGCAGCTCGGCGCGGTACAGGTCTTGGTTCTGAGATGACGGGCAGGGGAGAGAAGAGTGTTATGTTTAGGTGGTGTGGGCACGATACAGCGAGATGGTTGAAAGAGTAGACAAAGTGCGATGTTTTTTTGGCGTGGGCGCGGTACAAGTCATGGTCATGGTTCTGACGAGAGAGAGAGTGGTGTTTTCTTGGTGTGGGGCTTGGTTGTACCGCAATGCGCGACACGGCAACAAGAACTCTTGCGAGCTATGTAGTACGAGAGAGGAAAACACGGAATAATCAAGGCGTGTCTCCCGGAGGAGATCGATTCATAGTGTCTGTCGCTTGAAACCGTCAAACGAACGTGTGGAACCGCCAGGCACACACAAAACACCAACACAAGGGATAGAACATAAAAGCGAAGGGCGGAGGACTAGTACAGCACAGTCGAGGAATACCCTGTCCAATACTTCGCCCCTTCGCTTCAAATCCTCACCAGCGCGTTGCCCTCTACCCACTTGACGGACTTCACCCAAGACCCTCCATTCGCCGGTGCCCCCTTGCGGCTGAGGGCGATCACGTTGCACCCGGCGGCAACAAGCTGCGAGAAGACCGTAGACAAAAAGCGTCAGAGAAGACGGGAAAAGTCAGGCGCATAAGCAGGCAATTTCGGTCTTGGGAGGGGACACAAGAACTGCATCCCCCCGGTTTTAAATCGCTTCAGCAGAAGGAGTACTTCGGTGCCGAGCTTGAAACACTGAGCAGAGGGGGTCACGCAGCCTGTATTACAAACTCCCCGCCTTTGTGTTGACTGCGTCACCCCCTCTGGTTTGTAGTGTGCGGTGAGGTGACCAGTTGCACCACAACCTTGAACACGCAGCCGTTCGATTAAACACCAAGTCGGGGCAGGACACACACAGCTCAACTCGCACCAGAAACAAGACTCCGGGAGTGTGAAGAGTGTTTCGCAGTCGGCAGTTCTCCAAGGTCTGGAAGAGGGCTACAATCATTCATTGCCGCCAGTGCCACGAACCGCCACCCCCCATCCCTCCTCCTGTTGCCCAGACCCCACCCCCCGCGATCAGCACCCACAAATCGTGTCTTTGTTTTCACCGTAAGGCTGCCGTCTACTCTACTGGCCAGCCGGTTACCGCGATCCACGACAAACGAAAAGAGACACACAGCATACATAGACACACATGCACACACGTGACATTAGAGACATACGGCACACATCGACACACATGCATCTACAGGTTATCCTTAACACTCACCTGGCTGCAGAT